ATTATATGCTTATATTAAATGTATGTTTATGAACCCATATAAAGTATTATACAGAATTCTGACTAGGAAATTTTTTTTTTTTTACTATCTACTTTAACATGTAGGAAGAAAGTCTCTTCAAAAAAGATTGAAAATAAAGTCTCTTTAAAGAATACTGAAAAAAGAGTATCTTCAAAAAATATTAAAAATAAAGATTTCTTAACAAATCTACAGTCTGACCAATGGCCATCTTCTTTCTTAAAAGAAAGTACAGGTACTAGCATTTGTCTTACTGAATTGAGTGATTGTGGCTTCTAATTTAAACCTCTTTCCAGGACCCTGGGGAGTTGACAACACTCTAGGTCTAAGGTGGGGCCTGGGAATTGTTAGTTTTTCAAACTCAGGTACTTGGTGATTCTGATACGCAATGAAATAGAGGATCCCTGAGTATACATCATGAGATGATATTATAAGGCATTCAATCTTTGCATGGATTTAAATACCTATGAAAGCATTAACAAGTTCTATTTGCTTAACCGTGATTGAAAACCAGAGTGCCAGGCATTAATTTAGAAGCTGTGAATACAATAGTTGGCAAAATAGGCAAAGTTTCTACACTTTATAAAGTTCACACTGTAGTGTAAGCATCCTTATGCTGGTGAGCTGTTATTCACTAGGGTGACAATAAATAATGATAATGTACTATAAATTTCAAAAAGCTAAAAGAAAGGAATTTGAATGTTTTCACCATAAATAAATAATGTTTGAGGAGATATGTTTTACATGATTTAAACATTATACGATGTATACATGTACCCAAACATCACATGAAACCTCATAAATATGTGCAATTTTGTCAGTTCAAAATACATTTTAAAAAATAAGTAAAAAACCAGAAACATGCAAGATCATTTCAGGGTTTGATAGGTGCTACATTTAAATAAACAGTACCTGGGAGAGGATTATTTTAGATCTAGAGAACAGGAAACTTCCCCATAATAACTGAATTGAATGAGACAGTGCCTGTGACATCATAGGATGTCTTTAGTTCCTTATTATGACCTTCCTGATGACATCAGTGTGGTGAGCTGGTGCACATACTGGTGTACATACTGGTGTATACTGGAAGATCAAGGTGGTTGTGAGCCAATGGAGACTATGAATGAAACAGAAGCAGGTTAGATGGACAGCTTGAATAACACCATTATAATTCTCCTGGAAGGGCTTCATATCCCTTTTCAGGGTAACGCTCTTGGCTTAGAGTCAGGAGTTTCATTTTATTTCATTTGGTCTGTGTTTTTCTAACCTATCTTTTCTGGAGCTCCCCTGGATTTCCTCCTTTTCTTCTAAAAAATTGTGCTTATACAACTTTTTAGAGTAGCTCATGGCTACACTCCCATCAAAAAGGCCCTTTCCCAAGGTGTCCCAGGCACCCACAAGAAAGGGGTGGGTGTAATAACACAAGATCAGTCTGAAACTGAAAGACTCCATAAAGCCAAAGGAGTCAGGCTCACTGGTTTTCAAGGAGATATTTTAGGAAACACGTGGTAAACATTTTTAAAAATGAATACTAGTATATTTATTTTAATATTTTTTGAAGTACATTAGAAAGAAATATAAGACAGTTAAGAACATAGACTCTGGAGCCAAACTGACTCCCAGAAGAATAATTTATTTCACTCCTCTGTCTCCCAGTTTTTTCATCAATAAACAGGAACAAAAATTGTAGTACCTCACTGGGATTTATATATATATATATATATATATATATATATATATATATATATATATAATTTTTCAGTTATAGGTGGACACAATATCTTTATTTTTATGTGGTGCTGAGGATCAAACCCAGTGCCTCATGAATGCCAGGCAAGTGCTCTACCCCTGAGCCACACCACCAGCCCTCACTGGGATTTTGATAGATTAATATCTGTAGTGTTCAGAGGCTAGATTGTTGGTCATTATGATGGTTTTTGTTTGGTGATTATGTTAATTTAGTATATCAGTTTTATGGATGCTAATAGGGTCTGGCAAAATTTAACTTCTAAACTTTTCATTGTTCATTGCTTAAATTATGTATATTCTGTTTTAGGTGAAGGGGGCAAAGACACAATTATTGCAAAGCAGGAGAAAAATAATGAACATTGTGTTCAGAGTATTGATAAGTTGTCAGAATCAACGGACGCTGATGGTGAGGATGATACCAGTGATGAAGATGATGAAGACAGTAACCCTAAAAAGGATACTCGTGCCCCATTAGAATTGATGGCAGAAGTAAGTTTTACTTGTGCATTACAATTTAAGAAACTTAAAAATGCTGAAATAACTAATGATTTTATTACTAAGTAAATTAAGCAAATTAGTAACGTATTCATCAAGTTAAATTTTAAAAAATCAATAAAAAAGATCCTTGCCCAGATATAAACGCTTACCTGGCTACTCGTCTCTCTTCATTGCGTTAGAAGTAAAAGAAGGTTCTGAAAGTGACATACAGTATTCTAGTGAGGCAGAGGCAGGAGTAAGAGAAGTCTTGGTGCCCTGTAAGGACTGCTGGAAGGAATGTGTTCTACATACTGGGTACCATGCTAGTTGCTGGGCATATAGAAATAAATAAGAGAGAGACATTCTGTCCTTGAAAACAGGCACATTTAGAAATAGTTACAACACATTGAAACATATACTAATGAAAGTGCTTAATAAGTTCCCTGGGAACAGGAAGACTTAAGTGACTGAGAAAAGAAGCAGGAAGAACAGGGATAAGAGAAGGATTTTTAAGAGGAAGAGACGTGAGTGGAATCTTAGAAACTTGAAGGAAGAGGAGAATATAGAAATTCAACTCATAAACAAGATTTCAAAAATATGAACAACAGCTGCATATTACACTGATCACATTCTCTAACCATGATCAATGAAACTAGGCATTATAAGCAAAAATAATTAAAATCACTTAAAAGATATTCTTCAAAATGACACTTGAAGTAAAATGAGAAATCAAAATTAAACTTATTAATTTGGAAAATAGTGATAACCACAACATTACAAATTACTATTTTAAAAAGAGCTTAAGGTTTTAAATGCTTTAATGATGGTGATGATGATGATTAAACTAATAACAACAATAAAGGAACTAAATATCAATGCCAAAAACTAGAAAAATAGAAAACATAATAAAACATGAAACGAAAAAAAAAATAATAATACAAAGTAAAAATGAAATTAATATATCAAGAGCTAGGTATTTGAAAAAAAATAACGTACAGATAAACTGATAAATATCATAACTACAATGGAATAAAATCACAAATAGGAATGAAAATAAAAATATCTTAGACAAGAATAGAATTTAAAATGTAAGAATTCCATTGCATGAATCAATATAGTTTTTATTAATATGCAAATAAATGAGATTTTTGGTGAAATTAGTGAATAATAGAAAAACTCTAGAATTGTTCTACTTATATCAGAAACATATTTTTAAAAAACTTCAAGGGAGAAACTGAAAAAAGTAATAGAGAACTTCTTCTTAAAATGGTACCTGGGTATTCATCACATATCTGGAAATGCATGAGAAGTTTTTCTTAGTACTCAGTGTCCCTGTCTCTTGCTGAGTAAAATTCATGTACCTGCGTGTGGTCCAGATGTACCACACTCAAGCAGGAACAAAAAGTGTTAAGTTTTTTTTTTTTTTTTGTGTGTGTGTGTGTGTGTGTGTTTAACTGGTAGCAGAGTAAAAAGTTAATGACAGCTGGGTATGGTGGCCACGCCTGTAATCCCAGCAGCTTAGGGAGGCTGAGGCAAGAGGATTTCCAGTTCAAAGCCAGCCTCAGCAATTTAGCAAGGTGCTAAGCAACTCAAGGAGACCCTGTCTCTAAATAAAATACAAAAAAAAGTGAGGTGGGGTGCTGGAGATGTGGCTCAGTGGTTAAGTGCCCCAGAGTTCAATTCCCAGTACCAAAAAAAAAAAAAAAGTTAATGACAGGGGCCAAAGTTGTGGCTCAGTGGTAAAGCACTTGCCTAGCATGCATGAGGCACTGGGTTCAATCCTCAGCACTACATATAAGTAAAAACAAATAAAATGAAAGTATTATGTACATCTACAACTAAAATAAAAGTTAATGACAAAAAAATTCATCTAGTAAATTGTAGCCTAAATAAGTAAAAAAATATGTAATATTTAATGCTAGACTGGGTGTGTAGTTCAGTGGTAGAACACATACTAAGCATGATAAGCATGAAAGAGACCCTGGGTTCAGTCTCCAGTACTCCCCTCCCTACCAAAATAAGAATATTAATGCCACGGGGAAAAATAATCACAATCAAATAGTTTATTTATTAAATAACTACTGAATAATCCTAATATTTATAAATATATATGTGTTTATTTATGAGCAAAACTAAAAGGATATACATGAAGATGTTAAACATCTCTAGATGGTAGAAATATAGGTGCTTCTTAATGGAGAACATAATGTGTTAATTTAGCTTTTAAATTCCCTACATTACAAATGTATATTACTTTAACAAGAAAAATAGTATAAGCAAAACTAGATAATATAGAAGCAGTGCTGGAAAATATTGAATGTACATAATTGTTAAGTCCATAATTATTCTTTTCAACTAAGAACTGTTATGTCGTTATGAACTACATTCACACATGAAATCTATATCTAAACTAAAGGAATAATCAGATAAAGTGATTGAAGTATTTACTATCTGTGCCAATCAAGTCAACCTATGTTTCTTAAATGATTCGGCAGTATGCACACAATGTGGCTGCAACAAAGCAGAGGTGGCACACTTATTCCAAGTTGCCCTGCCACCCAAGAGACTTACATATCCTCGATTAATTAATTGATTATAGACTCACTCCTAGAAAAGTGTATGTGTTAAAAGCAAAACAACTAACCATTAATGGAGTATTTTCTAGGGAATTTATAATTGACAAATTCTCTCTGAATCTACTTACATCCAACTAATTTAATGTTTTCCAGTTCCTGAGAGCAGAAATGGGCCGAGACTATCATCTCGCAAAAAAATTATGTCAGATGAGTAAGTACAAAATGCTTTCACATTTTCCAATATTCCTTTTGTTTCTAAAAATAAATTCTATCATATGTAAGATGGTTCCATTATCCTAAGTCTAATTCCCTGCTAGTGTCTCAGTGGCTCCTTTATAGTGAATGGTTAATTAATATAAGGATTAATTTAGATTTCTAGAGTAACTTTTAGCGACATAAACTAATGTAGACTAATGTAGACTAATTATCACCACTGGAAAATAAATCAGAATCCTTACCATCATGATAAGGGAATAGTACCTTTATGCTTTTTGTTTCAAAGAAAAGCCAGGTGCTGTAGCTGTCGAGCTAGTCTATCTGAACATGCATTATTCCACCAATGTTGGAGAGCCTGGGTGTGCCAGGCACCATTCTAGACACTGGAAATAGAGCAGCCAACATGATGGAATAACAGTCCCACATTTATGCCTACTGTCAGACAGATAATAAACTAAACTGTGTATCATAAATGCTAGATGCTTTGGAGAAAGACTAAGTCGGAAAGAGGAACTAGAAGGCACTGGGAGAAAACAAGGTAGTTTTCAGTAGGCTGGAAGGCCTCCCTGAAAGACTCGAAGTGGAGGAAAGAAGTGTGCTAGGCATGTCAAACAGCACGCGTGCTGGCAGCAGCAAGAAGTCCTGTGTACCTGCAGCAGAAGAGCAAGGAAGTGTGGCAGGTGCGGAGGTCAGAGAGATCAGAGAGGTTTGGCACAGGCTATGCACACTGCATGGGACCATTTGTCAATTCAGAGACCTTGGCTTGTTGCTGAGTGAGATGGGAAAGCACTGGAGGCTTTTGATTCCAGGGGAAATGATCTGTCTTCTCTCTCTCTGGTTTTTAGTGGTTTGACTTGTTGAAGATAGTTGTGGTTCTGGGCTGGGGTGGTAGCTCAGTGGTAGAATGCCTGCTTCACACCTGTGAGGCATTAGGTTTGATCCTTAGCACCACATAAAAATAAATAGATATTGTGTCCATCTACAACTTAAAAAAAATTTTAAAGGTATTTATGGTTTTCTTGGTACTTATCCTATTGGGAAGGTTTGCTGAGTTTTTAAATCTGTGGGTTGTTGTTTTCATCAACATTGAAAGGTTCTTGGCCATTACCTTTCCTCATACCACTTCCACCCTATTCTTTCTTTCTCTTCTCTTCCTGGGATTCCAGGAATTCAACTTTTTTTTTTTTTTTCATGAAATCCCACATGTATCTTTTACTTAGTTCTGTTTTGTTTTTATTTCTCCATATTTCTATTCTTCAGTTTGTGTATTTTCTTTCTGTGTGTGTGTGTGTGTGTGTGTGTGTAAACACAATACCTTTATTTAGTATTTTTTTATGTGGTTCTGGGGATCGAACCCAGTGCCTCACGCATGGTAGGCAAGCACTCTACCACTGAGCCATAACCCCAGCCCAGTTTGTATATTTTCTATTGACCTTTTTTGGGGTTTATTTATCCTGTTTTATGCTGTGTCCAGTCTGCTATTAAAACTATCCGGTGGGCTAGGGATGTAACTCAAGCGGTAGCGCACTCGCCTGTCATGCGTGCGTCCCAGGTTCGATCCTCAGCACTACAGACAAACAAAGATGTTGTGTCCGCCGAAAACTAAAAAATAAATATTAAAAAATTCTCTCTCTCTCTCTCTCTTTAAAAAAAAAAAAACTATCCGGTGAGTTCTTAATGTCAAAGACTGTATTTTCCAACTTTTAAATGCCCATTTAATGATTGGAAAGATTTCAGCTCTATACTAACATACACCATCTTTCCAACTATTTTGTCCATATTTCCTCAAATATTTTAATCAGAGTTATTTTATAATATATATATATATAAACCTATTGATAATAGGACCATTAACTAGCAGTTGACTTAAATTGTCTATAATAAATCCCTTGAAGTGAAAATGTAGTGCAGGGATTGTGAAGGGTCTACCCTCACTTGCCTGTGTCCACACTATGAACACAGAAGTAGATTGGCTAGTTTTAAAAATGGGTTTCTTGAATCCTTTAGCACTACCTATTTCATATCAGAAGTAAACAGCTTGTCCTGTTTAATCCTATAGAGTATTTTTAACCTATTTAATAAAATATTTTGGTCAAAGCTATTTTTAGAGTCCCACAAACAGAATTTTCCAATCAGAAGGAATCTTTAGAGAAGATAATGTCCAGTGACTTTCTGTGGAAGAAGCTGAAGCAGAGAGGGGTAAACAACTGGCTTGGCACTACTCACGATGACAGTGACACGGTCAGAATGGAAACGCAAGCCTGCTTTTCCTACACCTTTCTTTTCTCCAGTGGCTTATGTAAAACAAGGAACTCTGTTCCACTCATTCTCCATTCTGTGAATTTTTTCTGGAAACTAATTGTGGAAAATTTTATGTATTTTTTATTTCTCTATCCATCAATCATTTTAGAAAGCTTCTGGCTAAAGCTTATAAAATATATGTACTGTCAGTCTGTTTTGGCTATGAGCCCTGCAGAATGCTACATAAACAGCAGGTGCTCAATAATATACTTGTCAGCCTGACTCAAACCAGTGATTGTACAATAAATACCAGGTCAATGGGGTTGAAACACTTCAAATTTATCTATGTTCATGGATATATCCCTTTAAAAATATCCTTCCTCCCTTTCTCCTACTCTTTCTTCTTTCTTTCCTTCTCTCCTTCCAACAAGTACATATTGAGCACCTTCCTCTGACCCAGACATGCTGGGAGACGGAGAGAAAGCAGGAGCCAAGGCACACATGCTCTCAATCCTCTGGGGAGTCACTTTAAACTTAACATGTCTACAGGCTCACACATTCACACTGTCCCCTCTTATAGGTCAGTGTCAAATAGTGGTGCCTCTAAAACTGAGGATTAGACTACAAGAAGAGTGGCTAAGGTCCCCATCAGACACCAGGATCTGGGGTGCCTGTAAAAACGCTGCTTCTAGGAGGAAGAAGGGCTGACTGGAAACATGGGCAAAGAGGCCCAGAAGTAGGGATGCATGGGTTCCCTCGAAGAACAGGATTGCCTTCTTCTGAGGCAGATTCCCAGCTGAGGGTGTGAAGTTAGGGAGGCCCAGAGTCTGCAGTGCCAAGCCAGGTCAAGGGAAGAACCAAGTTCTCAGGGAGAAAAAGCACTAGTTCTTTGCTGCTATTAGGAACATGTGATTGGAGGCTGTTCCATAACTTTCTCTGTATTTATGGCTGCAGACAAAATGAATTGTTCTTATCTAGCATGGACCCCACATACTTTATATATAAATGCTTATAGTATAGATATTCTTGTCTGTCCCTTTTATCATATTCTAGCTTCCCTACAAAATACCTGCTTTGTGCTTGTGCTCTCCCTCTCTCTCTCTCCCTCTCTCTCTGTCTCTCTCTATGTATATATAGATAGATAAAGATAGATAGATAGATAGATAGATAGAATTTATATGTGGGCATTTTTATTTTTTATTTTAAAAATATTTTAGTTGTAGATGGACACAATACCTTTAATTTATTTACTTACTTATTTATATGTGGTGCTGAGGATCAAACCCAGTGCCTCGTATGTGCTAGGCAAGTGCTCTACCACTGAGCTACAACCCCAGCCCTGTATTTTTATTTTTAAATGTATAACTTCTGACATCTGTAAGTGTAGTTATATATTTACATATTTATGCATATATGTGTTGAATACCTACTATAGGAACAGTCTTGAAGAAACAGTGCTTAATACTCAAAACAGTTTTGTGAGAATCATTAACTCTCCAGAGGAGGAAACTGAAGCAAAGCAAGACCTAATTCATACAAGGTCAAATGGCTCCTAAGTAGTAGGATCATATTCCAAGTCTAACTTGAAAGTCTGTCATTTCCATACTCCATTTCAATTTCCTCATTTGGTTAATAAGCTTATTTTTCTGGTAAAGGAAGCAAAGGCTTGGAAAATAAATATTTTCATGGATCTGTCAGGCTAGAAATGGGTCCCATGATTGATGAATATATATTTTTCTTTGTTTATATCAATGACAATTAATTTATATAAAATAATGCATCCTTATCCCTTCAAAAGTGTACACACTCATTTTCTTGAAAAAAGCCCCTGGTTCCTGGGGTGGTGCCTTGAAGTCCAATTGCAAGCTAGTCTTATATGATTTTTGTCTGACTATAGGGCATCCCACCCAGCATCTAGGCACCCACAGCTTCTTTTCTCTTTTCCTGCCTTTTTAAAAATCTGCGTTGGGTTCTTCCAAAACATTGTATCTATCGACATAGGCTTGAATTTCTTCTGTCTTCCACCCAGTTTTTATATAGTCGTAATCGTTCCTCAATCATTTTCCTGCTGTCTCATGCAGAACTTATATTTCTGCTCCATTTCCTGTCAGGCAGCAGGGGCAACCTGGAAAAAAATGGTTTTTAAATGGGACTGGAAGTCAAGGGTCCAAAGTACTTTTCTTCATTCATTTCGTTCATGACTGAGGTTTTTGTGCCAATCAATCTCCCTATTTCTTGGTCACTTCACCTGTAAGTGAGAAAATTGCAGCTCAGTCTTCTCAGGGCACATCAGTTCTGCTCACAAGTAGCTAGAGATTCTACACACAAAAAACAGGGAAGTGTGCTACAAGATCTATATCATGAGTTATAACCATTGTAAATAGTAACGAACAATGGCTTGAAACCCAAACAGTTCTCATTATTGTAGCTCTATTTTGAATATAGATGTATCTTCAGAAAAGATGGTTCCTATAAAGCTGTTTCTTTTCAAGTAAAATAAATGATCCCTTTCTATTAGCCTACAGTATCACCTTATCTTGGGGTTAAAAAAAAAAAGCCTGCTTTGTTCTCATTTGTCTATATTCACTTATTCCCCTTTCTAATGTTTTGAAGGCTCCTGCTGCACATAGCAAGCACTCTGCTGGGCATGCAACAGTAAACAAGACAAGTGTTTTCTGCCCTGAAATAGCTCCAATCTGTTCAGCCCCATAGCATTAGAAGCCCCACTTCCCCACATGAGTCCTGTAGTCAGAAGAAGCACCCTGTTTCTGAGGCAGAAGAAAAGAAACCAAACAATCCTCTAGTCCAATAACCATTCCAGGAAAACTAATAATAACCAATATTTATTCAGCACTTACCGTGCACCAAGGACTGGACTGAGTACTTAATATTATCTGATTGATTCATCCAAATAGCCCAATATGACAGATATTATTACAGAAAAGGAAATTGAAGTACAACCATATTAAATATGGTAGCAGGACCAGAATTCATATCGGGCAGTTTTTCTCCAGGATCCTTAGTGGGCAATGCTTCCATTATGGAGCCCAAGTTGGAAAACAACCCCTGGACAGAAATTGCATGTGCTAGATGCTTATCTCAAATCTTTACACACCTGTCTAGGCTGTGATATAAGAATTTTTGATTTGTCACCTAGAATAGTTATTGCTGGGCCAAGTTTCAAACCAGATACCTTTCCCTCACTTTCTGAAAATTGATAAATGCTAGCTAAACTTACACTCCAATCCCTGAAATGAATCCAATTCCAACATTAATTTTCTAAATTAGTTCCAAGTGATAGCTTAGGGTTTATTAGTAAGTGTTCCACAAAAATGATTCCATTGTCAAATAAATTTGGATAAATCACATTTGCCTCTCTATAAGATTCATAGCAGTTTTGAACATCTGACTGGTTCTGTAAATTCCTGTGATTACTCCTTAGAGTAAGTTTTTCCCGATTAACTTTCTTTAACTTAGTATCCCAAATATGTATTAAGAATCTAGTATCCAAAGAAGCAAGTGGAGAAATCCTGCTCTAGAAAGAGGCTTAGCCTCAGAGAAAAATTTAGACTAGTGATAAGTATATTTAATTTCAAGTTAAATGTATAATAAAGGTACCTTATTAGAAAGCTTATTTGTATGTATAATAATGCATAAAATACCTGGGATCCTTAAAGGCAGTTTTTGAGCAAGCATACAGTTATGTATGTTATGTTAGTGGATTTGGAAATAAAGTCACTGGTTTGACATGTCAAGATGAAAGCCATGAGTCAATGGAGCCTTGAACCTTCCACAGTTCTCTTTCTTTTAGCCAGATGAATAGCACACTTGATGTTTCAGTGCCCCCTGGGGGCCACCAAGATATTGCACAAGGAGTCATCAATGGATGATACAGAAAGAAATAATGAATACTCCTCTAGGCATGTAGGAATAAGGAAGAGAGATTGAGCTGTAGAGAGATTTGAAAACCAGACTCTAGAAAATTCTGGAAAGAAGTCTGGTATCTAACACATAGATAATATACCAACAAGCCTTAAAAAGTCTGATATGGTCCAAAGGAAGGACAACAGTCACCTAAGGCAAAGGGAATAAATGGGGCTCAATGAAGAGGGGAGAGTACTGTTAAGCAGGCGATGACTGGTGAGTAGACTAAAGTTCTCAGAATGAAGGGAAAAAAGCAACGTCAGTTTTCCCTATGCAAAAGATGTTATTTAAAAGTGGCACCTCTACAGAAGAGGTCGCACAAAGAAAACTCCTTTCCTTTGTGTTACACGAGATCTTCAGCAAAGGATGTCATGCAGATATACTAATGGATGAGATGAGGGATTACAGACATATAGGCACACTGTCTTTTCATTATCAGACTCTCCACATTTGCAGGATTTGTACACTCTTTGGAGAATGATTCTATTCATGAAACACTTTGGCTACTGGCCTATTAGGGAAGCCATATTGAGGTGATTGAGATTGTATTATTTGGATAGGAGGTAGAAAAATATAATAAGGATAATTTCTCCAATAAAGCACCAAATATAAGTGGAGCATTTTCTCTATTTGTACCTGGATCTATCTGTGGTATAATTGTTGATGTTTATTGCTTTGTGCATTTCTACCTGCTCTGACTGACAGTTTCAATCTCATTCTAAGGATCCTGTTTGTTGAAACACTGTGAACCTTAATAACACACATTCTGTTGTCCATTTTCAGTCATAATCTATGAACCAGAAAATCCTGAGGCCAAGGAGTTTTTATCACTTATTGAAGAAATGTTGCTGATGGGTAATTTTAAAAATTGAAATTCCTTTTTTTTCTTAAAGAACTATGGGCAGTCTTTAAAACCCCATTATCTCAGGAAATTGTCAAAAATGCATCATCAGAAGTGGTTAAGAAATATCTAAATGGCTGAATCAAATGGTTTAGTAAAATCAGCTTGTCCTCTGTGGATAGAAAAGAGGACCCCTTTCTCACTGTGGGGTGGAACTGCCAAGGCTCCCTGGCTGTGAGGCATTGGGTATAGGAAAGAGAACATGCTAACCACCTTTATGTGTTGAAGGGATGTACCATGATTTCCAGGAAAGCCAGTAGTCTCTTAATTACCCTAAGTCTCAGTCACCCTAATTCTATTTAAGAATTTCTTTGACAATAATACAAATGATTTCATAGACCTATATTTTAACTTAACTTTAAACCTACAAACATCTTCATGCCAGTAATAATATATTTCTCACTTGTTCTACTACTTTGATCCTACGTATCCTACGTTAGTGAAGTTCAGCTTAATTCTTCTGTTCAGAAATACATATTTCTTGGTAGAGGGGAGGGGTAAGGAGCATTATGGTTTGTGTGTTGGTTTGTTTGTTTGACTGACAATATCAAGAAACATTTGAAGCACTTGTCTTCCTTTCTATGGCAGAGAAAGCTCAGAATCTCAAGGAAGATGAGGAAGACAGCGAAGAGGACAGCAGTGGTGAGAGCGAGGGAGAAAGCAGCGAGGACTTAAGTGACGAGAGTTCTGATGAGTGTGAAGATGGATCATGAAGGTCACTGGGTGGCTTCAGCTTCGTGTATTTTCATTATTGTATACCATGCACATATAAAGAGGGAGAGCTGCATCTTTGTCTATTGGTTCTTTCTTTGGTACAGAGAGTTCTTTTCAGTTATCCATAATCTTAGTTGGAGCTCCTTCCTAATATTTAAGCCTTTAGTCAATACGAATTAGGAAATAGTATGTGCCAGGTACTGTGTGCTCTACACACATTATTATTTAATTGAACAACTCCATGAACTTGACCCATTCTACAGATGAGAAAACTGAGATGAAGAGAGGGTAAGTAGCTCACCTAGCCTCTTGTGCACCTATTAATTTGTACAGCCTAGATGTAGATGTGGACATTATGACTCCAGAAGCTATATTTTCAGTCCCCCATGAAGGACCACCACATCAGGCACATTTATGTCATTTGTTTGGTTCTTTATGGCATATATCAACATCTGAAACACTTCATTTTTTGTTCTTCTTATCCTCTCCCTAACTGACATACAATGCAACGTCCATGAAGCAAGACTTTTTCTTTTTCACTATTGTATTCCTAGAAACTGGATAAATGTCTGGCAAATAATAAGCTGGGTATACACCAAGTGAATAAATGAAGTTAAAGTTAAATGTTTACATTCTTTCATGAACCATTTACAAGGTTTTCCACTTCTTATGTGTCAATTTACATCATTTTACTGATTCTGTAATCCTTAATGGATCCCTGTGACTTTCAAATTTGGTTGTAAGGTAACAGAGGTAAAAGTAAGAAGAATGTTCCTAAGTAATTTGTTTATGATTTGCCAATCTTATTGGAAGGTAAACATCTTGGCTCTTTATTTTTATTTAGTACTGTGCCATGATATTTGCAGCATAGTTTATTCTTTAGGCATCTTGTGGCTTCGATTATTCAGAGGGAGAAACTGAGCTACATCAATGTATAGAATAACTGAAAGAAATGATGATAGGAAGCCTTCCTTAATTTACAATAAATTGTCAGGCTCTGGTACATCAATAACCAAATAGTAACAGAGTTCTACCTGACACACATCTCAGAAATGACCTATTTTCACTTCAGTTTGCATTGAACATTCCTCCTCACCATAGGAAAATCACCAGCTGTTAATCTGATGATGCTAACTTGATTATGGAGCCAGCCCTGCCCCATCAGAAGTTCACAAAATACTCAAATTGATGCTGAAAACTAAATGTGTTAAAATGCGATTTTTAGTTTTAAAGGAATGAAGTAATTCTAAGGAAGAAACTATTAATAAAAAGCCATAATATCACAGACCACGTTACAACTAAATCTAAGAATTTATAAGACTTGCTCATCTAGTATGTCTCTCCCTCTTATTCATCCAACTTTCACTTTTTAATCAATGAAAATTGGGGCATTGGCTTAGCCTAACCATACATCTGTATGTAGTAATAATAGCTAAAATGTAATCTACAAAGTATTTTTAAAGTATTTAGCCCTTTATCTTCTCATAATAGTCTTATGTGCATGTTATCCTCTTTGATCATACAAATTGAATTTGGGGTGATTAAAAACATATAAAGTTATATGTTAGCTAAATTACGGAAAGTAAGGTAAGGAAATAGAAACTTAGAGATACCAAGTTACGTCCTGATTTTAGAGATCTAGTGAATCTTGAATCTGTTGTTTCATGCTGCCTCACACATAGCTAATTCTAGAGACTAAGTCAACCAACAAGTTGTATCTATATAGACAATTCAGACCCAAACCCTTGCTTTCTTCCATAATGTAAAACACATTACATTTATGGTAAAGAACCCAAATATCACTGGGTGCAGTGGTGCATGCTTATAATCCCAGCAACTCCAGAGGCTGAGGCCAGCCTGGGCAACTTACTGAGATTCTGTCTCAAAATAAAAAAATAAAAAGAACTTGGGATCTGGTCAGTGGTTAAAGCACCCCTGGGTTCATTCCCCATTACCAAATATGTATATCCAACAATAAGAGAATATGTAAGAATGCCTACTCAATAGACCTGATAGGAGTCCATTGAAAAAGTTTCATTTGTTTATTCAATAGTTACTGATGGTCTAGTAGGTTTATTATGGGCTGCTGGTGGGGGTCCAGTCTCTGTTTTTAACCAGCACTATTGCAATGCTGGGTGTTACACACTGCCTGAGGAAGTCCAGGGTACTAAGGGAACACTCAAGAGGGACACCTAAGCCAGGATAAGCATCAAGGGAAAACCTTCAAGAGGAAAAATGAAATCTAAGCTAAAAAGATAGAATGCATAGGAATTAGCTACAAGAAAAAGGTGTGTGGAAGACAGTGGTGGTGGGGTAACACAACTTGCAAAAGCCCAGAAATACATTGTGTCCAGAAAATAAGGTCAGATTGTAAAATGAACAGAACCATGCGTGCGGCCGGGGTTCGATCCTCAGCACCACATACAAACAAAGATGTTGTGTCCACCAAAAACTAAAAAATAAATATTAATAAAAAATAAAATGAACAGAACCAATGAGAGGTGAGAAAAAAGAGGAAGCTCCAGGTATAAAAGGGCTGGGTAATGTGGGGTCTTTAGAAGTCAAGGTAAAGTTTGAAATCTGCTGAGGGCCATTGCTAAGTAAGAATGACGCATGGCATGACCCAGGTCATTTGCAGTGTCATTGCATGTAAGGTGACCTTGCTCAAGGACCAGGGTAGATCTGGGTTTAGGGCGGATCGAGGTTTAGGGCGTTCCGGTTTAGGACAATCCCGGTTTAGGGCGGTTCCAGGTTTAAGGTGTACCCTGCTGGGAATAGGACGTATCCTGCTGCCTCAGGCGCGCCTGCTCCTTGAGTTCCCGTTGAGTTCTCGTGGGATTGAGAGAGTAATTTGGGATTTTGCCCAGAACGTGATTGGGGCGGAGAACGTGGATTTCCCCAGAACGTGTGTAGAGTGCCGGTGTGAGTTCGGGAATAAAGAGTTGCTGTTTGACTCTACAAGGTGTGTGGTGGCTCGTGATTTTGTGCCCAGCCAGACTGCGGCAGAAATCTATCTTTAGAGTAGTGAAAGGTATTTGAAAGAAAATTATTGTACTTTAAAAAGATCCATCTGGTAGTCAGGAAGAAAAATATTTTATCAAACTATAAATCATAATCCATTGGTAAATTGTGAAATCAATATAGTGAGTAGCTGAGATTTTAAAAAATTAAATACATGAAATAGAAAATAGTATATTCTACAAAAAAGCATAAGAAGTCTTAATTTGCTGGGCACGGTGATGCACACCAGTAATCCCAGCAGCTTGGGAGGCTGAAGCAGGAGGATATAAAATTCAAAGCCAGCCACAATAAGTTAGCAAGGCCCTAAGCAACTGAGACGCTGTCTCAAAATAAAAAAAGTAAAAGGACTGGGGATATGGCCCAGTTAAGCATCCCTGCATTCACTCCCTGGTACCACAAATTAAAAAGAAAGAAACAGTCTTGTTTTGCAAAGCTTTTGTTTCAGAGGTGTATGTGTGCATCCTATATCTTGATGTAAAATGTATTTCTTCCTATGGGTCTCAATAAAAAATAAAAGAGTGGTATGAATAGCAAAGACTAAAGTAGGATACAAAACTCCATTGTTAACTGTTCAAAATTGCCACCTGGAAAAAGACAAAGTAGAGATGAAGTGGACTAGAGGAGTTACCTTTACAAGTAGAAAGAATTGACAAGAAAGGGTGATGGATTTAATGTAAAGAAAAGGTAAACATCAAGGATGAGTCCCAGTTTGATCACTAGGTATATGGTAATGCTAATTCCAAAAACAGTAACACAGAATGAAAAGTAATTTTGCTGACAAGACAAAGATTCACTTGCATCAGTTGAGTATGGGAAGTATATTTGTTTCCTCTGACTGGCAGAATAAGTTACCACAAATTTAGGGGCTTAAAACACAAACTTCTTACCTTACAGTTCTGGAGGTCATAAGTCCAAAACAGGTCTCTCTGGCCAACATCAGGGTATCAGCAAGGCCACAGTCCTTCCAGAGGTTCTAGGAGAGAATCTGTTTCCTTGCTTTTTCCAGCTCCTAGAGTCCTCCCATATTCCTTGACTCATAACCACATTTCTCCACCTTCAAAGACAGCAATGTCTAGTCATGTCTCACAGGCTACCATGTATTTCTCCCAGCTTCTCCTGCCACTTTTAAAGATTCTTGTGATTACACTGGACCCATGTGAATTCCCTACAATAACCTCCCTATTTTAAAGTCAGCTGATTAGCAATTTTAATTTCATTGGCAAATTAATCCCCCTTTGCTCTTTAATCTAACAGTCACAGGTTCTGGGAATTAAATTGCTGATAACTTGGGGGTGGAGGGGTATATTATTCTGCCTCCTATAGGAAGTAATGGATACATGTTATCTCAGGTTTTGGAGTTCGTGGTGTGGAACTTAGAAAAGACACTTAGGCTAGAAATATACCTTTATTAGAAGGCATCAAATCAGAGAAAGTCATCAAAGAAACTGTGGATGCCCCATAGAGATAGAGTAGTCTGAATAGAAGAGGACCAGGGATAGAGTCGTAATGATCACCAATACTGAAGTAGTAGTCTAAGAGAAGTGCACAAAGGAGACTGAGGAATCACCAGGAGGAAAATCAGAAAAGGAAATACGAAGGATACCATTGGTTGTCTACTTAGCATCCGTTCCTTTCTGTTGCTTTGTAAAGAGAGCCCTGGATCTGTTCACGTAGTCACTGCCCCCATCACCACCCCGCTCCACACACACACACAGCCATGAAGCTCCTGAAAGCTGACTCCACCTTCAGCCAATCCTTGCATGGCACTTCCCTGGTGACTCTGACTTACTCTCATGATTAGAAGAGATGTTCCTCCATTACTCTGGGTAGGAACTAAGAAGGATGCTGCCCTGTCACTGCTGGCAATCATCTTATGATCATGAGAACTAATCTAGCTGGGCACAGTGGTGCACAACTGTAATCCCAGTGGCTTGGGAAGCTAAAGCAGGAGGATAGCAAGTTCAAAGCCAGCCTCAGC